CCTGATAAGTGGATGCTAAATCCAAAATGTTAGGTGATACGACAAAATGTACAAGACGTTATGTTGAAAAACAAACTTTACAACTTTGGCAGTGGGGGGTGGGGAAGATGGGAGGGCAGGGATGGTAACGGGAAACAAAGGAGCAGGCAACAATGCTTAATAAGAAATGTACTCATTACCTTGCTCATGTAATTGTAACCCCTCTGTACAGTATTTTCACAATAAAAAAACTTATTAATAAAAAAAAAAGCATGGATGAGATTCTCTTGCCAGATTCCTCATAGTTGAAGGGTGGTTGCTGAATGATGGAAGACCTCACCTGCTCCTTCCACTCTAGATAGGTGAACATTAAAAAACACGGTGGGGGCTGGAAAGGTGGCTCAGCGGTAGAGCGCTTGCCTTGCATGCATGAGGCCCTGAGTGCAATTCCTCAGCACCACATAAGCAGAAAAAGCCTGAAGTAGTGGTGTGACTCAAGTGGTAGAGCACTAGCCTTGAGCTGAAGAGCTGAGGGAAAGTGGTAGGCCCATAGTTCAAGCCCCACGACCAACCAAAAAACAAAAACAAACAAATAAAAAAACCACTGTGGCGGGGCACTGGTAGCTCACACCTGTAATCCTAGCTACTCAGGAGGCTGAGACCTGAGGATTGAAGTTCAAAGCCGGCTGGGCAGGAAAATCCTTGAGGCTCTCATCTCAAATTAACCAAAAAGCCAGAGGTAGAGCTGTGGCTCAAGTGATAGAACACCAGCCTTGAGTGAAAAAGCTAAGGGACAGCCTTAAATTCAAGCTCCAGGACTGATACCAAATAATAAAATGTTTACAAGCCTCCGTGAAAGCAGTATGGAGGAGTGCAAAATACAGACAAGGGGGACTCTGGGGCCTGATGCCGCCACTTACATCCCTGAGTCAAGCCAGTCTGGAAGCCATCCTATCCCTAGACCCTTCAGATACACAGCTATAAACTCCCTCCTTGGTTCAAACCAGCGTAAATGACCTTTCCTGTCCCTGGCAGTGAAGAGCACCAATCTGCAAGAAGTGCACTGGTACCGGACACACACTCTCAATGTTCCCCTCACAGGTGTGGTCTGACACTCACAGGGACCACGGAAGCCCCGCCTCCAGCCCCACTTCCCAAAAGGCTCCAGAACTCACTTGGATCATGTAGGGGAGAGTACAGCCTGCCACGGTAGCAAAGAAACCCATGCAGAGAGACCCACTGGAGCTGCCGACGGGCTGGGCCCCGTCACAGCCTCCAGGATCACTAAGCCTGGCCCTTCCACCATCACGTGACCTTACCACTTCCTGCAGTACAGGTAGGCTGACAAATGTGGTATCCTCCTCGTTCAATGTGACCTATTGCTCCTGCTGGGTGAGGAAATGGTGCTCTCACCAAATCCAAGTTGATGAGTAAGTATCTCACCTCCAAAGGGGAGGGGCCAGTGGCCCCAAAGAACAAAGGACAGGCTTGTCCAGAGGGCTCTGGCTACACACAGGTGGCTCCAGAGATGCCATTTTTATTACATGACCAGCTGACGACGCACAAATGCCATGCGATGTCACAGCTGCTGAATGTAGCAGACACACCGCTTTGGGCGGGGCCTGGTGACAGAGGTGGGACTCCATAAACAGGAATGACTGACAGGTCCTTAAGAAACTACCTTCAGGGGCTGGGTGTGTGGCTCAGAGGTAAGGTGCTTGCCTAACACGCATGAAGCGCTGGGTTCCATTCCTAGTACCACATACACAGAGAACGCTGGAAGTGGCACTGTGGCTCAAGTGGTAGAGTGCTAGCCTTGAGCAAAGGAAACTCAGGGACAGTGCCCAGTCCCTGAGTTCAAGCCCCTGGACTGCGGAAAAAAGAAAAAAATAACTAGCTCCAGCTATGTCCTGGGCAGCCAGGTCTGGACCCACCCCTAGGGCTGTCTTACCTGGGAAAATGAAAAGATCCCAACTTGCTACTCTCCACTACAGTTGGGACCTCATTCAAAGGAAAGAGCCCGTAAAGCAAGCAGCACATAAATTTGCTTTTTAAGTTAAGATGGGTGCTAGAACAGTCTTGGAGGGCTTGGCGATGGCTAGTACAAGTCCTAGGCTCAGAGGACTGGAACTGTACCATGAAGAAGTCCGCACACAGGTTACACACATGTGCCACTGAACGCCTGTTTCTGACCGTGCAAGGCTATTATTTTGCAACTAAAAGCACTTGTGCTGGGGTGTGGCTGTGGTGGTCTCTTGCCTAGCATGTGCAAGGCCTCCATTCCATCCTCAGTACCACCTTTAAAAAAAGCCAGTTCCTTTGCTTTAGGACTGAAAGTATATGAAATATTACAAGAGACTGCAGAGGTGCCACTGTGGCTGACAGGGCAGTCACAGCAGGAAAGACGACGCGCTAGTGCGGAGCTGAACTTGTGGGTGGCACGCCTCTCCAGCTGGGGGGCGGGCGGGGAGAAGGTAGAGCCACCCAGCATACAATGGCAGCTCTGCTCAATATGACATCCGCCAGAAGGGCCGGGCGGGCTGGGAGAAGCAGGCATCCTAAGGTTGTCCTGCCTCCTGGGACGTGCCAGGCCCAAGCCTTGGTAGTCAGCAAACAGCGGAGACAGAGGAGACACACGCTGAGGGCCGGCCATGGGGCCCCCACCCACGGACCACTTCTAGTGCCCCTCCTTTTCTGGGAGGGGACAGTTGCACCCAGTGCCTCTGCTTGCTGCCTTTGCACAGGTCCAGCCACATACACACCCAAGCCTGGATGCTACAGGAATCCTCTGCACATTCTCTACCCAACTCCGGCTCTGGCCTGAGGCCTGGGGTACTGGAATGAGCCTGAAGCAGCTGGGGGCTAGTTCTAAACCATGCAACCTGGGTTTGAATCCTGCCTGGGCTGTGCACGAGCTCTCTATAGCCTTGTGCAAACTGCTTGACCTCTCTGTACCTCAGTTTCCCTCTAGACTCAAGCACTAAATTCTCTCCCAAACTGCATGGAGAGAAGGGGCAGCCCTGCTTTAAAGCACAGCCACACCTAGCTGATCCAGTACAAGGCTAGTGTGCCTTTCCAAGCTCTGCCAGGCCACAAATATGGAGAGACCTGTTGCCTTCACCCCACTATCGACAAGGTTCCAAAGGACGTTAGGGTGGTACGTGCAAATCAGGCCCAGGAACTGTTCTAGAAAGCCACAAAGCCTTGGTCCAGGGCCATGGTCAGTCAGCTTGGGAGGAGGGTCAAAGTGTGGAAATATGCAGTGGTGGAGGAGAGCCTCTTCTTCCATCTCTGGGAAGTCCCTCCTTCATAAAAGAAAAAATTAGTTTCAAAAGGTGGCCAGTTTGGAGTTTCACAAATAATATTTATTAACTGCATTCATAACCAAATCTCATCTGAATTCACCCCACCCTGGCTGCAAGCCGAGTCACGTGATGGCATGGGCCCTGGAGTGGACCTGGGGTGTGAACTGCATCTCGGGAAATGGCGGGCGCCACTGCTCCTCCTGATCTGGGGACCTTCCTGATGATCTTGGCGGTGACAACCTTTGCTGGAGATCCCAACGTCAAACCCAAAACAACTGGCTAGAAAGCAAAGAAAAAAGTGGCACTCGGACGGCCCCAGAGTGAGATGGGGACCCTGCGAGCACCTGGGGGCTGCGGGTCCCACTGCAGCGGGGGCTGAGGAGGCCAGGGAAGCAGCAGAGCCAATCTGGGCTGCATCACTTCCAACAGGGGGACCCCTGAGCCACTCTGCCCCTGCGGACGCTAGCTTCCTTCCAGCAAGGGAAGGGACCCTTGCTTGGCAGGCCTGGTGCAGGGGTAGACGGAATGGAGGCTGCGGCAGTTCTGCCCCAGAAGCAAGAGCTCCTCCATTCCATTCATTCCATCCCTGCACCTAGCTCCCATGGGAAAGGCCCAAAACTGGCTCCCCTGCGTCCATGTCTGCCAGGCCCAAGACACACTGGTGTTTGGCTAGAGGAACCTAACTGCACATTCCCCACAATGCAGCCAGACATCTCTTCAACAGCTGGCCGTGGCACGCCTCTGCCCTGAGAGCCAGCCAGCCTTCCTGCAGGCATTATGGGACACAACTCAGGTGAGTGAGGCATGCCAAGGCCTCTGGAGAGGGGCTGGCATCTAGAAGCGGGTATTGCTATGCCTGATTTTCAGAGGCAACCTGCCCAAGTTGGAAACAACAAGGCCGGGTGCTCACCGAATGGCTACCAGCGCCCTCAGGATGGCCTGCAGGAAGGTCAGGAAGCTGAGACTCAGGGGCGGGGGCGGGGCGGGCGGGCTGGCTGTCCTCCTCAGGGCCAGCGGCTTTTCCTGGTGAAGGGCCTGGAGATGCTGCCACTTGAGCAGGAGGCGCCTGTCTCCGCAGATCCGCCAGCGCTTGTGCAGAGAGGACTCCAGTAAACGGCGCTCTAGGGGCAGGAAGGGTTGTGAGGACAGGGCAGGACCCAGCCCGGGCTCCGGGAACTGGGGCCTGTAGGGCTCTGGAACTCTGAGCCCATGGGGGCCAAGACAGAGCGAGTATGGCCAGCTTGTCACATTATCCGGGGTGGCATGCCGCAGCATTCAGGAATCTACCCTTTAGAGCAGCACTCTGAGCAGTTTTGGAGGACATGAGGTCCCGCTGGAACTGACAGATGGATCCCCTGGCTTTGGTGGTGTTTGGTTTTTGAGAAGGGGGAGGGCTGGGTGAAGATCCAATGAAAACAATGGATAACTGGATCCACATGGCAAGACCCCTATCTGATGTAAACCAGCTTGGCTTTGCAAGCCTGTGACTGGGGCACCATGCGGGAATGCTCTGTTCCAGGGGAGCAGACAGACACAGCTCCACACTGACACCTGCATCTCCTCCTGTGTGTGTGTGTGATGGTCTAGCCTGCCAACAAACCTCATTGGTCTAGCCTGAGAACCAACCTGAGTGGTCTAGCCTGAGAACCAACTTGAGTGATCCAGCCTGCCAACACACCCAAATGGAGACGGCGGGCTTGAGACATACAGTGGGGTTTCAGTCCCAGACAACCGCAAGCCAGCACATAGGTAGATCACAGTTGGTGGCTGGTCCCACAAGACTACCTGAAAAAGAGCCTAACACAAAAGGGCTGGCCGTGGCTCGGGTGGGAGAGCACTGCTTAGCACCACTGCACAATGAAAATGAATTTTCAGGGCTGTGGCAGGGCTCAAGGGTAAAACACATCCAATACCTACAAAAAATGTCTTTAAAACAGAAATCACACTGTCCAAGCAGACATGTACTCACTACCTGACTTATGTAACTGTCACCCCGCTGTATATCACTTTATAATAGCAATATTATAACAATAAACTTTTTAAAAGCACAGAAGTCAGTTGACTTAAAGCCAAAGGAAATGCCTCATGCTTCAGTCACGCTGTGCTTGAAGCTAGGGGAAGAAACACCTGTAAGCACTGGGAATCAGCGCCCCATTCTGCCTATCTCCTCTCTTGAGCGGGTTTGGCTTCAAACGTAACTTACATCTACCTCCTAAGCTTGGGAGCACCACAGTGCTCCTGGGGCCCACCCCTCCCTGGGCGCGGGGTGGGGGTGCCATTACCTTTCATGCCTTTAAAACTCCACTGCCTCTTCACCACCTACAAGGCAAGAACGCCAGCGACTGTCACCAGGGGATCTGTCCACCAGAGGCCAGGTGATCCGCACTGGGCGCCTCAGAAAAGGGGGAGGCCTGAGGTCTTCACGCTGACCACAGTTTGTTCCTTGGTGATGGCAAACCAGCAAGTAGAGTCAGGGGAGAGAAAGGAAGGGCGGGGGAGGGCCAGGCTGGCAGGTCCTGGCAGTGCTGCCCTGGACTATAGCTTGGAAGGATGGCCAGACAGAACCAGGGCTAGAGAACAGAAGATCTGAGAGATGGCTCCTCCTGCAACTTCTGCAGAAGCCTGGGCAGGAACAGAGAGAGTGGGGGCAGGGAAAGGTAAGGGAGGAAGAGGAGACGGCTTTGAGGAGGGGAAAAGGAGGAGGAGGAGGAGGAGGAGGAAGGACCAGTGAGGAAAGAGACAGACAATCTGACCTTCCCAGAGAAAGGGGCCCACACCTTCCATGGCCTCCAACCTTGCCTGGCCACAGCTGCCGGAGGCCCTGGCCTTGTGAGGGCCGTTACCAGTCAGCCCCTCCCTGTCCTGTAAGCCACCTCCTTACCTTATTCCGTGACCGCAGGCCCCGGGGCACCCAGTAGGGCATCACAGCCTGAACCCGAGGTGCGGGGAGGCGTCCCCCGAAGCCGTGGCATGGGCAGGGGCATGTCCTGACAGCTCTAGGGACACAGAGCTGTGCCATCTTTGGGATCTACCAGAGGAAGGGAAGGGATCGGCCCACACCACCCCATCAGTCTGAGCCCAGGGCCTGCTGGGCCCCTCTGCCCTCCCGTAGACATGCCCAACCTCCCAGGGTAGAAGAGCACACCCACCCCATGGCAGCCCAGAGGTGGACCCCATCTGCAGGGACAGGAGAACTGGCTCTGTCCTCAGCTTCGGGCCTCCCTGCCTGAGGGCACAGCGGATGCAGACCCAGCAGTGCACTCCTGAGAGGCACGTGCATTTCAGTGCCAGTGCATTGAGACAACAGGGTGCTGAGCACCACTGGTAGGGACTCAACAGTAGGACAACCATCACACTCGGTGGCTCTTTCGGGGCCATTTGCCGTGGCAGGATGAGGCCATCCTGGCCAGTCCCACCGTGCCAGCAGCGCCGGTGAGCTACCGTCCACAGCAGCCACTGCGCCAGAGGTGAGCACGGCACCCTCCTGCCCACCGCTGTTCATCACCCAGCACCGGCTGGTGGGAGAGAAAAAACAAACAGAAGAACATTCCAGAGCCAGAAAGGGGCACGGGGCCAGGCCACAAGGGCCGGCTGGGTGCGAGGGCAGGAGAGCAGCCTTGCCTGGCTGAGCCCCGAGGATGGGGCATCAAGGCAGCACCACTGAGCACGGGCTGAGGGTGCCCACACGCAGCCGCTTCCTGCCCCACCCACGTCCCAAGGGATCAACGGGGACAGCTAAGCAAGATGCAGAAAGGACCAAACTTCTAAACTGGACTTTATCGGAACATGGAAACTCCTCTCTTTGCAGGATTCTGGTAAAAGAACAGCAAACCAAGCCAAATGTTTACAAGATGAACTTCTGAAACAGAACCTGTGTGCACAATACATGAAGAACTCTCAAAATGCTGAGACACAAAACCCAACTTTTGAAATGGGCAGAACACTCCATGCCTACAGTAAAGGCACATGGACACATCCTCCACACCACGGGGACGGCAGAAACGCAAACCAGAACCACGGGAGGGGCGCACCTGTTGCCAAGGCTACAGAGGGGAACGCTGGCAGACGGCAGGAGCGGCAGGAAGGAGGCAGACGCTTGCCAACTGCTGACAGGCAGGGAGGCACAACCATGCTGCAAACAGCTGGCGGGGCTTTGCAAAAGTGTGCCACCATCGAGAGCTGAACGCAGCAACTCCACGCCGAGGCTTTACCCAGGACCAGGGAGGCGGCACAGGAAGGGCCCAGCACCGGACAGATAAAAGTGGAAACAGGCCGGGAAGGGGGCTCAGTGGGAGAGTGCTCGCCTAGCATGCACGAAGCCCTGGGTTCAATTCCTCAGCACCGGGCTGGGAAGGTGGCTCAGTGGTAGAGTGCTTGCTTGCATGCCTGAGGCCCTGGGTTTGATTCCTCAGCACCACGTAAGCAAAAAGAAAAAAAGCTGGAAGTGGCGCTGTGGCTCAAGTGGTAGAGCGCTAGCCTTGAGCTGAAGAGCTGAGGGACAGCGCTCAGGCCCAGAGTTCAGGCCCCACAACCGGACCAAAAAAAAAAAAAATTCCTCAGCACCACATACACAGAAAAAGCCAGACGTGGCGCTGTGGCTCAAGTGGTAGAGTGCTAGCCTTGAGCACAGAGAGAGACAATGCCCGGGTCCTGCCTGAGTTCAAGCCCCAGGACCGGCACCAAAAAAAAAAGTGGAAACAGTCTCCATGTACCAGATGAAGACATAAGCTGTGATCTATTCATGTGATAAAATGCTACTCAACAAGGAAAATGACTAGCGGAGCAGGTAGCTTATGCTTGCAATCCTAACTACTCAGGAGGCTGAGATCAGGAGGATCTGATCTCAAGGGCCTGCCCAGAAAAGAAGCTCTCAATATCCAATCTCAACCAATAAGAAGTGGGGCATGAGCCAGGCACCAGTAGCTCATGCCTGTAATCCTAGCTACTCAGGAGGCTGAGATCTGAGGATCGCAGTTCAAAGCCAGCCTGGACAGGAAAGTCTATGAGACTCTTATCTCCAATAAAACACTAGGAAAACCAACAGTGGCACTGTGGCTCAAATGATAAAGCGCTCACCTTGAGCTGAAGAGCTGAGAAACAGCGCTATGACCAACAACAAAAAAAAAAATAAACTGTCCCCAAAATGTTTTAAATCTCACTCATAAAACCCCTGGAGCTTGAGAGGTCCCAGGTCCCCTGACATCCAACCTCAACGTCAAGCCTGGACAAGGCACCTACCTGCTTCCGGGGCCGCAGGGACGGCGGGACCCAGTAGGGCAGAGCTGCCTCGGCCCTGGGCACAGGTAGGTGGCCCCCAAATTTGATGTGGCACTCACAGCAGACGCACTCTTTGAGAATAGTCTGCATGCTGGGGCATAGCTAAGAAAGATCCAGAAGAGTCAAATCAGTTTAATGCGGCGTGTACACTGAGCCAGTACTTGGAACAGCAGTGCCCAGCTCCTTCTACAAGTCAGACAGGCACAGGCTCTATGGCCCTGGTCAGACCGAGTCACTTAGAAGGGGGTCGCAGAGCCTGCACACCCTGTGTGGAGGGAGTCAGCCATTGCTTGCCACCTCACCATGCACAAGTCTCCAGACAATGGCAGAGTCCAGCCTACTCTAGAGGCACAAGGGTCCGTACCACAGTGCTCTGGGCCGGCCTTTGTCACACTCGGAGCAGGTCACTGGGGCCGTGCTGGGTCTCCTGGGTGTCTAGATTCAATGTGGGGTGGTAAGGACCCAAGGGGTGGGGCTCTGCGGTGGCCCTCTGACCACACACCTCCTTGTGGCACAGACTCTCATAAGGTACAGCCTCTGGATCCTCATCCGCCCCTCCAGCCACCCATGGGGTTGGGACAAGTGACTAAGGGCTTGCTTACCGAATGACCTGTGAGGCACACTTCTTTCCCAAAGGTCTGAAATGTGCTCTTCCTAGAAAACAACAGGGAGGCTTAGAATGTCCTGGACAGGGGCTAGGTTAGGACTGGGGCTAGGTGAGGTCTGGAGCCCACTTTACTGGAACTATCAGCACTGAAGCCTAGGGGCACAAGGGCCACTTTTGGAGCCCAGGAAAGGCAAGGAGGGGACAGAGCCCTGGAGCCACTCAGTGCCCGGTGCTCCCGGCCGCTGGCTGTTGTGGAATGCTGTACTCCACACCCACTGGGTTCAATGCACTCCAGGTTCAGTTCACACTTGATCTGGTGGAGATACAGTCTACAGAGAACTTTCTAGGACCTGGGGCTGCCACTTGCCATGGGTGGCTCACACCTGTAAACCCTACCTACTTTGGAAGCTATGATTAGAAGGGTAGTGGTTCAAGGGCAGCCTGAGCACAAAAGTTCACGGGACCTCCTCTCAACACACGGTGCTGTGCGCCTGTTATGCTAACTCCGACAGGAGCCCTAAAAGGTGGACTGAGGCCCAAGTGGGAGCCCAGACAGGAAGTGAAACCTTACTTCAAAAACTACGTGTTTAGGCTGGAGGCATGGCCTAGAGACAGAGTAACTGCTTAGCATCTGTGAGGCCGAGTTCACTCTCCCGTAACACACACACACACACACACATATAATACACACATACAGGACTGCCAACCACCCACCTATGATGCTTTATTGGACACCGATAAGATTATGGAATATTAAAGAAAAATTCTGTCAAAATGGTACAGTAAGCCCTGATGGCTCCTATCTGTAATCCTAGGCTGAGATCTGAGGATCACAGCTCGAAGGCTCCCTCAAGCAGACACATCTGGGACTGTTCATCTCCAGTTAACACCACAAAACCAGAAGTGGAGGTGCCAGCCTTGAGCAACAAAGCTAATGGGCGGCTCCCAGGCCCCAACTTCCAGCACAAGTAATAGTACTAGGAAGTATTACTGTTCAGTGGTGGCTTTGGCCGGCGGAGGCTCTGGGGGGGCCGGGCGCGACACCCCTTTCTGGCTAGGACCGGCTCGGGGGCCATCCCCGCACCCCAGCCGGGAGGGAGGTGGGTCGGAGCCGCGTCAGACTCGGCGCAGCGCTGGCTGGGCGCAGCGGGGCTCTGTCCGGGGCGGCGGGGAGGCTCCGGGGCCGCGGCCCGTACCTGGCTCTGTCCATGCCCGAGGGCCCACTGCGGACATCTCCAGGTGTGTGGCACGGTAGGCCCCTCACACGCGCGGCCCCGGCGGCCGGAGCTGCAGGCGCTCACAGCCAGCCGGGCCTCGAGCCACCCGAGCGGGCGCGGGGCCCGCCCGGCCCGTCATGCCCTCGCCCGTCGCCATGCGCTCCGGTGAGAGTCCATGCTACCCCGGTGCCCGGGGCGGGGCAAACAGCAGCTTGGTGGCGGCAGGGCGCCGGTCGGAACGAGCTCGGCCCTCGCGTGCATGGCGCCGGCCGCTGGAGCGCCACACGGGTCTGCTCCCGCCCCGGCGTGCACCGCGGCCTCCAACAGCTTCCCCCGCGCCCGCGCGCCTCGCTAATTGGCCCGCGCTCAGCCTATCAGGCGCGACCCTGTAGGGACGTGCGCAGGCCTGGTGGCTGATTGGCTCCTTGCGTGGAACGCCCGCCCACGGTCGGCCCTCTGCAGGCGGCCGAGCCCGCCTGGACCCCGAGACGACGCCACTCGCCACTTCCGGCCACTCACCATTTGCGGCGGCCGGGCCTGTGCGCCCCCGAGACGCCCCAGCCGGGGTCGCGGTCGCGGTGGCCTGCGAGGAGAGAGAGAGAGAGGTGGGGGCGGCGGGGCGGCCGCGCTTGAGCGCTCCTGCGAGCGCGCCCCTCAGGGCAGCGGGCCTGTCTTTCATGCTGCATCTTGTAACACTTGGAGCCAAATTCCCCTCCCCTCCCAGCACTGATGTGGCGGGTTAGTCATGTATCAAGCGCCCCTGAGGGCAGTGCTCCTTTGTTTTGTTTTTTTTTGGTCGGTCATGGGGCTTGAACTCTGGGCCTGGGCGCTGTCCCTCAGCTTTTCAGCTCGTGGCGAGCGCTCTACCACTTGAGCTACAGCACCACTTCCGGTTTTCTAGGGTTTATTAGAGATAGGAGTCTCGGGGCTGGGAAGGTGGCTCAGTGGTAGAGCGCTTGCCTTGCATGCTCGAGGCCCTGGGTTCGATTCCTCAGCACCACATAAGCAAAAAGAAAAAAGCCGGAAGTGGCACTGTGGCTCAAGTGGCAGAGCGCTAGCCTTGAGCTGAAGAGCTGAGGGACAGCGCCCAGGCCCAGAGTTCAGGCCCCACGACCGGACCAAAAAAAAAAAAAAAGGAGTCTCACGGTCTCTCCTGCCCGGGCTGGCTTTGAACCGCAATCCTCAGATCTCAGCCTCCTGAGTAGCTAGGATGACAGGCGTGAGCCACTGGCGCCCGGCCAGTGCTCCTAACTTTTACCCAGACTTTGGTGCCCTGTATTAAGTGATCACTCTGGTTTAGCCCCTTACCCCTTCTTCCTGGAGTCACTGGCATTTCTTCCTGCCAGCAGCAGCACGGTTCTCTCAGGGGCCTTAGAATGCCTGTGCCTGGACTTCCTTCACGTCTTCCTGCCGTCTGCCAGGGGACACGTGGTCATCATCATCCTTACTGTCATCAGAGGGACGAAAGGGCACAGCCAGCACAGAGGGGACTACTTCGCAATGCCCCCGTCACCACTGCGCCCCCGCCCCATTGCCCTGAGGACTAGAGGCTAGAGTGTCCTGTGAAAACCCTGGGAGAAGAGGCTACCCAGCTACCCACCGTGCCCCCGTGTCCACGGCACCCTGTGGGAGTTTGCCTTCCAATGGAACTGTGGAACACTGGGGACAGAGCAGCACCATGGCGATGAGCTGCCATCCTGCCCTCTCTGAGTCGGAGGCCACGCGAGGGGCTGTGCCAGGGAGCCTTAAGAAAGGACGGGCCATCTCTTCATGGCTTCTTTGCCACCTGGGCCCCCAGGTGGGAACAGCAGCAGCCCGAATTAACATCCATGGAGTCCCAGGAACTTGGGGCAGTAGAACTCCAGGGCTCAGCCAGACAGGTGGGACCTGAGGCAGTGTCCATCTCAGTGGCACCACAGCACATGGATCCGAGTAGGTCTTCAGCCCTTCCATCCCCACTGCGTCCACCCGCTCCCCCGTGGCCAGTGTCTCACACAAGGGCTTCCAGGCGGAGAGCCCGGTTCCCAGTCCTCACGGCACCTGCCGCCCCTGCCACCCTTCCCAGCCCTGAACTTGCTCAGCATTTCGTGCAACCATGACTAAGCCCGTTTACAGGGCACTGGTTAGTTTAGGCACACGTGAGTGAATTTACACTCACACATCCTGTCCACATTCCTTAGTCAGGCATGGTGCCTTGCACTTTCCTTGTGCCTGCCATTGCCTGGCTGAGCTGCTTTCCTAATGTCCCAGGCTGCCCGTCACCTCAGGTCATAACCTTTCATGGAGGCATGGCTGAGCCCTCCAAGGGCCACAAATAGGTGCTATCAGGAGCAGAAACAGTTTTAGAGGTGAAGGTAGATGGGGGTGGTGAGGGGCGCCAGGTCCAAGTTTGCCTTCTGCAACCTCTGGAGTTTACCGGTAGGTACTGAGACTTGCCTGCTTGGGGCAGTGCCCAGACTTGGCCTGTTGGAATGTCTACCAGGTGAAAGATGTGGGGGACAGGGTCCACACTGATGATGTAGTGACTGTGGAGTCCCCTGCCAGGCCTGTGCTTCTGGCCAGCTGCTCCAGGTCCTTCTCCTGTCTCCCATGACCCCACACAGCCTGTGGACAGCCACTGCCTCAGGTGGGCAGCCAGTGGCACCTGTGTGGGACCCCCACCCAACGCAGCAAGAGAAAATAGTGCAGCCACTGGGAAGCTGGCAGGCTCTTCTGTCACATGCACTCTGCAGGGTGACAGCAGGTCTGCCGTCCCTGGGGATGAAACCCTGTGTTCACACCAACATTTGTAGTGATTTCCTTCCCCAAATGCAAAACCAGAAGTAATTTTCTGCCCACTAACGGGAGAGGGATAGCCAGTATGTGTCCACACTTACCACCACCCAGCATGGGTAAACAGAATGCCAGAAGGATGGTTCCCCTGCAGGCAAATGGCCTTGGGTCACAGCACAGATCTTGCTCCTCTGAGGTAGAAGGGTTGTAGACAGCACTTAAAACAAGATCTGGAAGCCAGCCGGGGATACGTGGCAAGGCCGTCTCAAAAATGTATGCTTTTGGGGCTGGGAAGGTGGCTCAGCGGTAGAGCACTCGCCTTGCAAGCCTCAGGCCCTGGGTTCGATTCCTCAGCACCACATAAGCAAAAAGAAAAAAGCCGGAAGTGGCGCTGTGGCTCAAGTGGTAGAGTGCTAGCCTTGAGCTGAAGAGCTGAGGGACAGCGCCCAGGCCCAGAGTTCAGGCCCCACAACCGGACCCAAAAAAAACAAAAAATGTATGCTTTTCATGGAGCTTTTTAAAGTAAATGTCTTGAAAAGCTCCTTGGAGGGCTGGGAAAGTGGCTTAGTGGCCTAGCATGCACGAAGCCCTGGGTTCAATTCCTCAGCACCACACACAGAAAAAGCCAGAAGTGGCACTGTGGCTCAAGTGGCAGAGTGCACAGAGGCTCAGGAACAGAGCCCCAGGCCCTGAGTTCAAGCCCCAGGACCCGCAAAAAAAAAAAAAAAAAGCTCCTCGGAGCTAGACACAGTGGCTTAAGGCTGTCCTCACTACTGGGAGGCAAAGATGGATTATGGCTCATGGCCAGCTGGGCGTGGAAGCTCAAGACACTGTCTCACTCACTTGGAAGGCTGCAGTGGCAGACACCCGTCATCTCCAGAGATGGGAAGCATGAGGAGGCAGCAACCGCAAGAGCCTGCCTCAAAGCAACAAAAACTAGAGGAATGGCCCGAGTGTCTAGCAAGTTAAGGCCTGGCATACCCAAGGTCCTGCATAGCACACCCACCACATGCACATATGCAAGCATGTGCGTGTTTCTAAAGTGGCTGCCTGCTCTCACATCTCCAACTGGAGTCATGGCAGCAACCCTGAGTCCCCACCAGAGGCCGCACAGCAGAGACTCCACTGAGGAAGCACACAGGTTCTGAGCACCAGCTCCTGCCAACAGCCTCTCAGAGGGAAAATGGGGACCACCTTCCCATGGGACCTTCAAGAACAAGGAGCTACACAGTCCTCATGTGCAGAGGTGGAAAGACTGGCATCAGAGCCTGGTTGTGCCCCTCCTTGCACCTGTAGGCAGAAGAGCTCCAGCCCCCTGTGGGATGGGGCCGCCCCTGCAGGGCAGCCCTCTCCTGGCAAGATGCGCATGGACGGAAAGGAAGCCCAAGGAAACCCGAGGCTGGACAAACCTCGAGAGCATATGCACCCAGCTCAAGAGGCCACCACAGTGGAAGACATCTGGTTAAACATCCTCTGAAGCTGGGCACTGGTGGCTCACACCCGTGACCCTAGTTGCTCAGGAGGCTGAGATCTGAGGATCACGGTTCAAAGCCAGCCATGGCAGGATAGTCTATGAGACTCTTATCTCCAATAAACTACTCAGAAAACTGGAAGTGGTGCTGTGGCTCAAGTGGTAGAGCATTAGCCTGGAGAGGAAAAAGCACTGAGGCTCAGCCTCAAGACATGCTGTGGCTTCCTATCTCTCAGCCCTTCACCACTCCACCCTGCCCAGACTGAGAGCCTGCAACGTCCCCAAAGATACAACCACACCGCACACGAGGCTTCAGAAATATTTACTGAAAACTGAAAAGAAGAAACGGCCCAGGTGACGGGGCCCAGGGAGCAAGGCACCGGGGCACAGGGCTGTCTGCTGGGGCGCCCAGCCCTTCGACACACCCGAGCACCCTCCAGATCCACCCTCTCTGACTCAAGACCATGTTTGCCTCTGCAAATAGGCCTTGTGACATGTGGCTGAAGAACAGGCTCCACCCCTTGTGCTCCAGCTGGCCCTTCGCCTCCCTGCCAGCCAGAGTCCACTGTCCATCGCCTAAGACAGCCGTGCACAGTGCGGATTCCCAGAGTACCAGGCAAACCAAAAGTACGAGGTTCTATCAGATTCTCCCAAAAGAGAAGAGAGTCTGTTGGCCCAGAACCAAGGGCGCTCCTCACAGATAGGGCAGAAGGCAGGCAGTGGGAAGAGGAAGAGTCTGGAAGGACCCGGCCACACTGCTTCAGCTGCAGTGCTACAGAGAGGTGGGTAGCGTCTCCTGTGACTCCATCTTGAGGAAGAGGTTGTCCTTCCTAAACCAGAAAGCGCGAGATCAGGGAGTCTGAAACCAATGGCTGCGGGAGGGAGGGGGCCTGCTATCCAGGTCTCACAGCACACAGCGGTCAGTAAAGAAGAGGTGCAGCACAGATTCCACCTGGCACTAGAGGGCTGGTAGCTGGCATGGCGTCTGGGCAGAGGAAGGTGGGTACACAGACTGGGGTCATCCAAGACCCCAAGGGGACAGGGGAGAACAGCAGGCCGAGACATCCCCATGCAGGGGCCCAGAAGCCTGAGCTACACGCACACAGCCAGCAGCAGCCACGAGCCTCACCACGCGTGCCAGATGCACCAAGAAAGGAGAAACTCCATGGTGCAGAGGCCGGCACACCCGGGGCTGCCAAGCCCTGCCACAGGTGAAGGACAGAGCTCTCAGTACCGCTACACAAATGACGACTCCTCCAATTTGTGCTTGAAACCCCAACCTTCTCTCTATACAGAAGAGAGTGTTCACAGGCAGAGGCCCCCAGTGCTCTGGACTCCATCCGCTGCACTCTACTTAGTCAGCTGCAAAGGGCAGTGACATCATGAAATGGGAAGAAACCAATGCCCATCCTGGCGAGGTCTGCCTGCCAGGTGCCTGAGGCAGGCACTGTGGGCCTTGAAGGTACCCAACTCGAACTGCCACTGCTCCTGGAACTGCATTCCCAGAACCTGACAGGGACAGCCTCTGGGGTCCCCACCTGCAGTGGGGAAAACCCTGGCCTTGGATGGCACGCAGGTCATCTGAGACTGATCAAGGACACCGAAGGGGGTGGGGGAAGCCAGCGTCTGAGTAACTCACAGTCTCATGGCCAGGAAGGGGCTGGCAGATGATCGGGCCTGGCCTTCCTGACTGCTGACCCTCCTGCTGGGGAAAAAAAAAAAAGACCAGGTGCCAATGGCTCACACCTGTAATCCTAGCTACTCAGAAGGCTGAGACCCGAGGGTCGCAGTTCAAAGACAGCCTGGTCAGGAAAGTCTGTGAGATTCTTACCAATGAACTATTCAGAAAAAGTGTAAGTGGGCTGGGAAGGTGGCTCAGTACTAGAGTGCTTGCCTCGCATGCATGAGGCCCTGGGCTCGATTCCTCAGCACCACATAAGCAGAAAAGGCCAGAAATAGCGCTGTGGCTCAAGTGATAGAGTAGGCCCAGAGAGGCCTCCCAGAGGACCTGTAGGCTAGACCTGGACAACTACCTCAAGAGCAAACCTGCACCTGCCACTGGACAGATGCATGGGAGGGCAGGGTTCAAAAGCCAGCTGGGAGAAACTCCTTAGAAAATGCTAAGGACAAGTTGGTCTCTCTGCAAAGGTACAACTGCCACCTCCTTGGCACCAGGGCAGGCTCACCTAGAAACCCACGCAGGGACTCAGCTAGCCAGAGGCTGCAGGAAGCACGAGAGTTCTCAAGGGTCACCAGGTACTAGTGACTCACACCTGTAGACCTAGCTACTCAGGAAGCTGAGATCTGAGGACTGCAGTTCAAGGCCAGCCCCGAGACTCTTTATCTCCAATTAGCCACCAGACATTGGAAGTGGCACTGTGGCTCAAGTGGTAGTGTTAGCCTTGAGCTGAGGTCCCAAGTTCAAGCCCTATGACCAACATTTAAAAGAAAAAAATTTGCAAGGGTCTACACATACGGTTTCTATCCTTCGGCAAAGACATGATGGGGTCTGACACGTGTTAACAGCGTGGGGCACACTAGTGCACCTCAGGATCTCCACGCCCAAGGGTCCCCATGGATCGTGGCCATCCAGTGCTGTGCCACACATGGGCATGTGGCAAGAAGTGCCACGTGCAGTACAGCTGCCCACAACTCATCCACACGGAGCTTCACAGGCAGCCTGCACCACCCAGCCAGCATGTCTGCATGGAGAATGGCAGCTGCGTGCCCCACAGTACGAGACACACACCCAGAGGACGCACACGGGAGACAGGAGGGAAGGGTACATACAAAATGGTGCGCCACCAAAACTGGCTGCAGGGGACAAGGAACATCAGATCCATGCCTTGGGCCGAAGCTGGAGCCTATCTGGGGCAGGCACACAGGCCACGTCCCTATCCTGTGTCACTGGTGAGAGAGGTCCCCTGTGCCCCAAAACTCAGCAAGTGAGCAGAGAAGCAGGAATCTAATCCAGGGCCCTGCACACCAGTTACTTCAACTTCTGAGACCCTTCTCACACCCACGGCCTGTCCACACTGCCATACTTCTGACAGCTTCATTCTCCCGACCACCCTCACGGGCCCCAGCCTTGCCAGCAGGAGTGGGCAGAGCGGAAGTCCCACCCACAGAGCCGCTCGTCTGCCCAGGGATCACACAGGTCCATTCCGCCTCCTCTGGCAGAGGGTCTGTTGAACTTCTGACACCGCAGTTCACAGGGGAACTCCATGCCCATGCCCACAGCCTCTCCATCCTGTCTATCCTGACTCACTCTTCCTTCAGTGTTTGCTTATGGTGTTTTGTTATGTTTTGCTGTTGTTGACATGCTCAGCATTCTTCTTCACAGCTACTGTGAATGTACAGGAATATGTTACACACTATACATAAACCAGGACCCTGGTGAGCAGGTGTGCATCCGGGAAAAGGCTGCTTTCCAGTGCATGCTGGGCCTTGGCCACACAGCCCGGGGCAGCATGGCGGTCAGGAGCTGAGGGACTGGATGTTCTTGAGCATCTCGTCGAAGGCCTGCGGGGACGGCGCATCTGCATTCCGGAAGGTGGCCTGGACACGGCTGTACAAGCTGAAGGACTTCAGTTCCAGCCAGAGGAAGCCAAAGCGGTTCTCGTCGAAAAGGACAAAGACACCAGGTGTGCGCTCGGGGCTGGTAAAGCCATGGCCAGCGATGAGGCCCGTGCCATAGAAACTAGAGAGCAGAGCATGAGAAGGAAGGCTCTATTGAGAAAGCCGGCACCACCAGCATCCAAAGCGCCCTTCCCACCACCCCAGCCACAGCAGGGCCAGAAGCCCTGACCGAACCCCACTGAGGACAAGCAAGGCAGACACCGTGGGTGCAAGCAGGCACCACCAGCATCCAAAGCGCCTTTCCCACCACCCCAGCCACAGCAGGGCCGGAAGCCCTGACCGAACCCCACTGAGGACAAGCAAGGCAGACACCGTGGGTGCAGAGGGCCAGGATGCAGGCCTGACTGATTACTCCGTCGCCCACCTCACAGCAGCCCTGCCTGGCAACAGCCTCACAGAGCAAGCCCCGGAAGCCTACGTCACTGTGGGTACATCAGTTGGTTGTAGCAGAGACCACCTGAGACTAACACCGACTAAAACCTGCAAAGCTTCATGCAGGCCTTTGCAGCCCACATCTGACTCAACCACAGCTCTGTCCACTGTACAGGGTCTGAGCGCCCCCAGCAGGTAAGGAAAAGTTAGAACTGGCAGACTCCTCAGGGCACGGGGCGGGGGACGCTGCTACACCCCAGACACATGTGGATCCTCCAAGCAGCAAAGGAAACAGCCGAGGGGCAGGGCTGGGCTGCAGAGGCAGCTTACGGGGAGTCTCCACAGCCACTGTGCCAGCCACTGTGCCTCTGGTTATGGCAAGAACGCAGATACAGAGAAAGGAAGGGCACAGCCACCCTTGTTGGCCAAAGAAGCGTTCAACACAGGATGGAATGGAGAACTGGACTGTGCAGCTCTGCTGGTCAGGCGTGGGCTGCCACAGCAGAGCTGTGGAGATCTATGCTGGCGTGGGACACTGGGGATTGGAACATTTTTATAGGGTAACAAAGCTATTTTCTTTCACAGCCATTCAAAACTACAACTGCTGAAATTATACTGAGCCCCTATTTGAAAACCCAGTGACGTTTCTCTGCACATGAAAATACTGCGCATTTTCCACCACCTGGAGGGGCCCTCATTTCCCCGTAATGTCCTACTGTGAACCAACACTACGGACATGGCAGCAGCCACCTGCAGGCTAAAGGGAAGTGACCCTTCAGGATGAAGGCAGGGGCAGAGGAACGGACGCCTCACCTGAGACTGACCCTACGGCAGCCATCCAGCAGGACTTTGTCCTGGTGGACTATTCTAGATCTGCCCTGTCCAGTACAGCAGCCCCCAGCCACTGATGGCCACTCGGCAATTGAAATGTGGTCCATGAGACCAGGAGACTGCACTTACTCGTTTTGCTCAATTTTAGCAAATTGAAGAGGCATGGGCAAAGGCCTGGTTCATCTATGCAGAGGGCCTAAAGGGAGAAGGGCATAGAACCAGGAACACAGACTGAAGGCAGAGACCAGGTCACAGGTGTAAATGCAAAAGCCGAGAAAGGTACAGGCTGAATGGCAGCCCAAGAACAGCAGGAAGAGGAGGTGGCGTGCGTGGCAGTAACCCCCCAGGGGCCGGTCACAAGCCAAGGGCCCCATGTGCACTGCACTCACCAGGCAGCTGGGGTGAGGCCCGTGCCCACCGTGAGCTGCCCACCCCCGCCAGGACACCCAGGTGGACAGGAGAATTCTCGCCACAAGGGGCAGGTGACGCCTGTGCTCTTCACTGTCACTTATCAAAGCTTCGGGACACTGACCTGGGCTCTCTTACTCGGCCTTAGGTCTAAGTAAGGCCCCCAGAAACCACTGGTGGAGTTGTGGTGTTTGTGCCAGTCACCCTCAGTCACCAGAGGGGTGACAGGACAAGACCCTCCTCCCTGGAAGCTGTGAAGCAGGGCCGGGGCGGAGGCCGGGGCCGGGGCGGAGGCCGAGCGCGGGGCACTCAGGCCACGCTGTCAGAGCTCAGGTGCACAACAGGTGGAGCCAGGGCCCTCGTGGTCCTTACCACATTCTGCAGGTGCGTGGGTATTTCTCGTTCCTCGAGCTCACGCCCACAGGCAGCACAAAAGGCTGCCCCTGCCCGGCCGGGGCTGAGGCTGCTTCATCCCCGGGCTCCTTACTGTCCTGGGCAGCTGCCCCGTCGGGTCCCCTGGCGGCCAGCTGTTCACGAGGTGGGGCGGGGCCGTCACCAGCCTCCTGCTGCTGCTCCCTCCGCACCTGCTCGTGGACCTCCAGCACAATGCGTGAGAGCTCGTTGAAGTTGCACAGGTTCTCGACGTCGGGCAGCTGGATGCGGTGCCTCAGGTCAATCTCCACCGTCTGCTGCCCAGCAGGGATGTTAGGGTCACCCTGTGGAGCCGGTAGACAGCAGCGGTGGGTCTCCGAGCCAAAGAGACTGCACAGCTCTGGCCTGGACCCTCCCCGGCTGCTAGGACACACTGCGGGGCTCCCCTGACTCAGCAGCAGTCCTTAAGAAGACCTAGATGCCCTTGACAAGCCAGTGCCCGGTGGCAGCCCCATGGAAAGGGGTTTCAGAAGAGGAGGCAGCGGTGCTAAGCCTGCCGGCACTGTGCGCCCCTGTGCCCACCCTTGGGTGGGAACCAAGCAGAGGGCGGCAGGCCCAAGGAACTCCCAGACCTGTCTACCTGAGCACACAGCTGGCACTGTCTCCAGGAGGCCCTGGGCCAAGGCTCGGAAGCTCGGGAGGAACACACACCGGCGAGGAAGGGCGCGGCCTCCAAGCCCAACAGCCAACACAGGCCACACACGGGACCTGGACCAGAGCATCAGACCTCCTGACCATGCAGGAGCAGCATGCCAACCTCGGGGAAGAACTACCCTCACCATGCCTGATGAGGCCTGCCCTTCCACAGGAGCTTCCAAAAGCACAGGAAGCTCAGACGGGACACCACACTTCCTCAGGGCAGGACGGCCCTGTCAGCCTAACACCAAGCCGGCAGATTGGGGGTGGGGGGGAAGGGAAGCTTTACTGTGAGACACGCTTGCGCCCAGCCCGGGACAGCAACAGCATCTATGACGTCACACAGGTCCCAGTGAGGCTGCGGCTCGGGCCCCTCTCCCAGGCCCCGGCTAAATCAAAACCTACAGATCCCGGCCCCGGGACCTCTCAGCAGGCCCACGCGGAATTCCCAGGGCGTCTGAGCTTCAGCATTGCCTGCAGACAATCCAGGCTGCAGGCTAACCTTGGGGACCCTGTGGAAAACGCAGCATCTCCTTCCAGGACGGGAGGGTCCAGACCCAGCACCCCAATCCCCACTGGCGAGGGGCCAGGACCCCAAGTCCTGAGCCCACTGCGGCAGCCAGGGGGCAGTGGCCTGAGTGTAGATGGAGCCACGCACACTGGTCCCACCGGGAGGCCTCTGTATGACACAACTCACGGTGATCTTGGTGCCCCTGGCGTACTGGCCGTGGAAGCTGAGCATCACAATCTCCAGGCCGTGGCTGCCGTAGGTGCCCTTGAAGAGGCCCGGCTTGATGAGGTCATCAGGGTGGCTGGGCGGGAGGTAGATCCGGCGGTAGGTGAGGCAGTTGCTGCGGGGGAGACAGGCAGAAGGAGGGGTTCGGCTCCACCCGGGCAGGCCTCTTCCAGGCCTGAGGGCAGCATACCCAGCCACGTCTTTCACACCGCAGCCTGAAGGCATAAAATCCTGGTCTCATCACACGTCCCACAAAGCCTAGAGGGATGGCTCCCGAACTACCTCTTCCCAGGGGCAAAGGGAAGTGCTCTTCCCACTCTGTTACCCCTGGGAAAGAGGCTCGGGTCACAGCAACTAGTTCATAGCAGCTAGAGAGAGGAGAACTACAGTCAAGAAAGGGCTGTGTTCACAGCCCCACAGGGAGGCGAGGCCACAGCCACAGGCCTTGCTTACTCGTACTGACTGGTGTAGATGAACTTCATCAGGATTAGCTCCTGCATGTGCTCATGGAATATGTCCTCCAACGTGCGGCCCCATTCCTCCTTCAGCCATGTCCGGAATTCCTTCCAAGAGAACACAGCATGAAAACCACAGCACTGTGACACGAGACCGTGTGGCCAGGCGGGCATGGTGTGCATGGGCTTCCCGGTGGGCAGGTGAAATCCCCTCCACGTCCACGGCGGGCCAGTGACAAGCACCAGGACTGGGCCATGGTCCAGACCCCCAGGGGGCAGCAAGGCTGGGCCGTGGCCTCTGGCAGCGCTCCTAGGTACAGACCATTTCCCACTGCACCACACAAGCCCCGCTCTCAGGATCCTGGGCGAAGGCTGGATTTAGGGGAGCACATTCCCTACCGGCCACACAGGTCAGCTGAGGCCACCACAGCTGTGGCTGCTGTCTCGGGGCTCTGAGCCACAGCCACCACAGCATGAGTGCGCACACCCACGGAGAGCAGCTGACAAATGCCACACCGCCAAGGCACCCAACTCACAAACCACTCAGGATATTTCGTGTTTAGTCTGCTTCCACACCATGAGCATTACTTATCCAAATTTTGGACACGGACCTGTGGCTCAAGTGGAGAACACCAGTGTTGAGTGAAAAAACTTGGGACAGTGCCCAAGCTCTGAATCCAAGCCTCAGCTGAGGGGATGGGAGGAGTGCAGATGTCAGAGGTCTTCGTGCTATGTGCTTCCAAAGACTAACCAGCACTCCACAAATCAGGTGTGGGAGAATTTCAGACTTTGCCAGTAGGCCTTGCAGACACCCAGGTACAAAGAACACAGAAAGATCTATTGCCAGCAAAGGGACCGGCAAGACCCTTCTCACAAAGAGAGGGGTGAGAAGTGCCAGCTACTGTCTCAGATGGTCTTTTATATGGTCTTAGCTATCCCAAAGGGGTGATCTCTCAGGGAAAGGGGTGGGGCTAAGCACTTGCTGCCTTTACTACGTGGGCTGAGTGTTGCCTAGAAGCTATGAGGGAGGAAGCCTCTGGGCTAACCACAGGCAAAAGCAATTGGAGAAAGCAGGGCTGGGAAGGTGGCTCAGTGGTAAAGTGCTTGCCTAGCATGCATGAAACCCTGGGTTCCATTCATAAGTACCACATACACAAAAGCCAAAAGTGTCACTGTGGCTCAAGTGGTCGAGCACTAGCCTTGAGCACAAAGAAGCTCAGGAACAGTGCCCAGGCCCTAACTTCAAGCCCTGGGGCGGGCAAAAAAAAAAAGTTACAAATTATCAACTAATATGTCATGACTGGAACTGAAAACCAGAATCATGGCAGAAACAGGAATGAAACCGACACAGCCGAGCTACAAATCAACTCGAGTCCATATACCACAGCAAAACAAAAGTGCATCTTCCTAAAAGCCTGGAACAGACCCTCCACCTGTTCTGTGTCCCACCCAGCACAAAACAAAGTGGCCAAAGTCAAGTCGGGATCTCTTGGAGTCTTCTCCTCTCAGTTCAAACCCTCCCTTCCCCCCAGATCAGAACCCACCAGACAAAGTTGTATTCATGGTCACAAGTCAGATCATTTAGGCACCAGCACAGGAGGGCACACCAGGTAGGGAGCCTTGCTGCTAGTCACAGGAGGCGGGCTCCCACTGCACAGCCTCCTGTGTACGTGTAAGGACCAGGTTGCACTCTGAGAACCCCCTTCTCTGTGGCGCTCACCTCCTGCCTCCCTCCGGACATCCTGTGGTGGTCCGTCTGGTTGCACTTGGTGGAGAACTCGTCCTTCTTCACAATCTTCAGTGACAGAAGGAAAAGATGCAGAGGAATGCAGGTCAGCCTCAGCTGCAGCCACAGCTGAGCTGTGTGACAAGACCAGAGCCTCCATCTGAGATCACACGTGCACATAAAAGCTCGCACACGCACACACGCACACACATGCACACACACACACACACACACACACACACACACACACACAGAGGCCCATCTGAAAACGCACAAGATGAGGCCAAAATCGATCATGAAAGGAGAGCAACAGAAGGCACCAGGCCTGTGCTGTTCTGGGGGCGGGACGCCCTGCCAGGGCTGCGGAGCACTGACTGCACACTGTACCCACAAGGCCAGCGACTGAGAGGAAAGTTTTACTCTAAGCTCGTGATCTTTGTTGTTTTGTTTTTTGCTGGTCTTGGGGCTTGGACTCTGGGCCTGGGCACTGTCCTGAGCTGCTTTTGCTCAAGGCTAGCACTCTACCACTTGAGCCCTGGTGCCACTTCCCACTTTTTCTGTGATTTAATTGGAGAAGAGTCTCAAGGACTTTCTGCTTGGGCTGGCTCTGAACCATGATCTTCAGACCTCAGGCTCCTGAGTAGCTAGGATGACAGGTGTGAGCCACTGGCGCCTGGCAAAGGAGCTGAGTGTGCAGTGTCAGAACCAAAGGCTCCGATTAATGCAAAACCCGGAGCTGGTTCGAGACAGAGGCATCCCGCCCCTCGGCAGCTGCGCAGAGAGCGCACTGCAGAGCAGGGATACCTCCCCACTCCATGCGCAGCTAAGAACGCCCCACCCACCCAGGAAGGCACCGGGACTGAGAGGCCACATGCATATGGGGGCCCAGCCCTCACCCACCTGGACATGGCCATTGTGTGGCCCTTTGTGGCCATACATACACTCCACGGTGGCCGACCTCCTCTCCATCAAGTGGATTCTAAACAGAGGCTTGGATCTCATGGGGTCATCAACGTGGGGATCATGGGGCGGCAGATACATCCAGCCCACGATGAACAGGCCATCCACCTGCAGAGACAAGAGGGCACGGGCTCACCCTCACTGGTCCATCAGGTCTGGACCCCCAAACTAGTGTTCCACAGATGCTGAATGCAGCCTGTCCACAGCCAGCGACATCTTATCATCAGACAAGACAAGGTCATGGGGAGAAGGTGAGCGAGCTGCTCAGAAGGAATCTTTGCCCATCTGAGTAGAGCCTGGCCCCGAAGCGACCTGGTGAGGCGCCCACTGGTCTCAGCAGGCCCGTGCTTCCTGGGTGCTCTGGCCACCCCGTGTGAAGCTGACTCACCACCACATTCAGCAGGCCTCCATACGGCCCAATGTCCGGCTGCCACAGCCCCAGGATGTGTCTGTACCGGTGAAGCACTGCAGGAAGGGAAGGAGCAAGCGTCACTTAGACACAAGGCGTGGGGAAGGAAGACATCCTCCCTCCAGTCCCCTCCTGAAGGGAGGCCTGGTCAGAGTCAGCCCCGAAGCCCTCGCTGTTAACTGACAGAGTGGGCTGGTTCACACAGGCCCCGGCTGCTAAGATGACATCCACAGTCTCCAGGGGTCGTGAACAGTTTCTGAGCCCTGGGGACACTCAAGGGGAAAGGTGGCAGCTAGAGTTCACCAATCTGGTCTAGGTATAGAGGAACATGTTCGCCTGTGTGTCAACTAAAGGAAATGACCACCACCCAACCAGCCCGAATATCACCCAGGACTCTGAGCAGCAGGACACACAGGGCCTGACCGGGGCGGGCAGCGGGCACACTTCCTTTCTCCATCAACCCAAGTCTGCTGCTGAAGCAGTCATAAAACCAGCCTTGTCTTATGGTCAGGAAATAACAGCTGGTGCTTAGTAAACAAGGCAAGGACTGGAAACAAGTACTGTGCCCCACACATGCTGAGATGTGTGGGTGGGAAATACAGACATCTGAAATTTCCACTGTGTGTGAGCCTGTACCAGGGCTTCAACTTGGGTCTAGTACTCAGCTTGGTGGTGGTGGGGCTTGAACTCAGGGCCTCAGCGCTATCCCTGAGCTCTTTTGATCAAGACTAGTGCTCTACCACTTTCAGCCACAGCACCACTTCCAGTTTTTGAGTTAACTGGAGATACAAGTCTCACATGGACTTTTCTGCCTGGGCTGGCTTCGAACTATGGTCCTCAGATCTCAGCATCAGGGGTAGCTGGGATTATAGGCATAAGCACCTGGCTCTACTCAGCTTTTTTACCCACAGCTGGCATTCTACCACTTGAGCCACAACTCCAGTCCAGCTTTTTTGCTAGTTAATTGCAAATAGAATCTTGTAGGCTTTTCTGCCCAGACTAGCTTTGAACAAGAAACCCAGCTTCCCAAGAAGCTAGGATACAGGTATAAGCCACAAGTGCCAAGCTGCAACTTACTTTCAACTACATTAAAACAAGTCAAAAAAGCTGGACACCAGTGGCTCGTGCCTGTAATCCTCGCTACTCAGGAGGTCTGAGGATGGCAGTACAAAGCCAGCCCAGGCTGGGAAGTCCATGACATGAGACTTGTATCTTCAATTAACCATTCAAAAATTGAGGAGGTGCAGGCCAGAATGGAGGGGCTGAGCCTGGTCAGGGTATGTTGTGTGCAGATGTGGACATGTCAAGATGAATTTCCTCTATAACTAGTTGATGTTAATCAAAGGTCCCTAAGGAGGAAGGCACAGTGCAGATGGACGGGAAAGTCACTTCTCATGTCCACAGAACAGCAGGAAGACTACGCTGACAACTGTCTACCTCACACAAGTGTCCATAGTAGCGAGGATGCTGACTGTTCCCAGAACAAAAAAATAAATGGCTACGGTTACAGACACACCTTGGTCTGACCACTATACATGGCCGCTGCACCGGAATGGCACAAGGTGCCCATACAACTATGTGCAGGTACAGGTGTCCACTAACGTCAGGCCTACAATGGGTGAGGGCAGCCCCTGCCCGCCATGGGTGAGGCCTTGGGTTCCATCCCCAAGTTCAAAAGATGCAAAATGGGTTAAATATAAGGCATCTCAGATGCCTTTCACCACCGTGGACTGACTGGTGCACTCAGGAGAAGACAGCGCCCCCCGTTTCAGTGCTGTATTCCCTGTGCTGCGTATGACTGGACACAGTGTCTGAGGACAAGCCACCACCCCGCCCTGTTCGGTCCTGCACCGCTGGTGCTGGCTGGCTGCTTTGCTACAAAGCGGAAGACGGAACTCACGCTGTGCGTAGACATGGCGGAAGGACACGCCTGGGCTCTCCAGCCTCCGCGGGTTCTCACACACGCCATACTCTGCAACAAGAAACACGTGCTAGGGTTAACATGAGATCTCACAGGGCGATGCAGACAGACGGACAGGCAGGAGAGGAGGAGGGCGTGGAGGGCATCTTCCGCGCAGTGACTTCTGGGCGGGCCACCGCCACGGGCCCCCAAGCATCACAGTCTAGCACAGCACAGGCCCTCCGTGAGCGGCCATCCTCATCGTCTGCTCTGATGAGGATGGCCACCTGACCTACAACGGAACAAGGCAACCCCAGAGTGCGGACAAGGGTGGCAGAGCATCCGCCACTGTTCCTACTCCTGAGAACCAGACTGACACTGGTGTTGGGCTAGGCCCACGGCAGCCACGGCTACCGTTCTGAAACAGAGCCTGCACTGGCCCACCCCAGCTCCGCAAACGCCTCCTGCAGCCACGTGGCGACAGCAGTGCCGTCCTCAAGGATGGCTGGAGCGGGTATCCCGCGAGGTCAGGCAGAAGCCGTGGAGACAGAGCTCAGCTCCATCTCTGCGAGGAAGAGACTTCCCACCGCGTGGCCCTGACTGCGTGTGCGCACTCTGCCATTCTGTCCTCTGGGAAGCCCCAGCCCGGGGACACCAGGGCTGATGGGAGACAGAGTAAGGAAGCCCCCAGCTCAGGGAAGCAGGCTGCAGCAAACGAAAAGCCCTTTTTTTTTTTTTTTGTCGGGCTTGAACTCTGGGCCTCAGCTCTTCAGCTCGAGGCGCGCACTCTACCTTGTGAGTCACAGCACTACTTCCAGTTTTCTGGTGGTTTATTGGAGATAAGAGTCTCACGGACTTTCCTGCCTGGGCTGGCTTTGAACAGGGATCCTCAAATCTCAGACTCCTGAATAGCTAGGATCACAGGCGTGAGCCACCAGCACCCAGCTAATAAACCCCTGCTCTTTGGGCCTGTGCCCGCCACCGCCGCCAGGCCCCTCAGTGAGACTCAAACCAGGAAGCGGGAGGCAGCAGCACGGAGACAGGCTGGGGTCAGCTGGGCGCATGCCCAGTGCTGGAGGCCCAGAGCAGGAGCAGAGCCTGCTCAGCTACGGGACTGCTCCCACCCCTCACTGTCTACTGCTTGAAGGAAGTTCTTCCTGACTGTGCGCAGAGCGGTGCATGGGACAGCACAGAAGACGGCACAGGCCTGTCTGACTGCCAGGGTGGAGGCGGGCCTGCAGGAGCACGGGGCCTGGCATGGAGCCCTGGGAGGCTCATGCCTCCCAGCCTCACTCACTAAGTGGGCATTCACACAGAACGAGGAGCAGCCAGGGCCAGGTGGACAGCGGCCACACCTGGTGCCACACCTGCTGCCCGCCCTGCCCCCATGCCCAGCACAGCCTGGCGGATTTGAGTTTCCAAACCACTTCTGGAAGCACTCGGTGAATACAAGCATACGAAGGCCAATCCAGATCTGTCTCTAAGAGAAAGGAAAAGAGGGATGTGGCTCATGGAGAGCACCCACACCTTGGCAGAGTGCCAGATGCCAGTGTTCACACATGCTCCCAAGCAAAGATGCCACCCCATCCCCCAGACACCCTTGGGAACTGCCTGAGGGGTCAGGTCATGGACCGGCCAGGCCACTCCTGGCAAGTCTCCAGCACCACTCCACTCACTGTGGCGAGGGGCGCTCATTTGCTAGCTCTCTTCCATTTAAAGACACCCTGCACAGCACCATCTTCCTCACCTCCCCGCCTGGTGAAGTCCAAGACTACAGCAGTGGTTCAGGCCAGCACGCCTGTGCACGGGCCCCTCCCCAGCGCCGAGACAGAGAGACAGAGACAGGGCTGGGGGGGGGGGAGAGGAGGGGGCTCTTTAAGGAGGCCAGGCCTCCCTCCAGGATGCGGGCGGCTCCTGGCTTCCTGACAGACTGTCCCTCCCACCAGAACAGGTAGGCGCTTCCAGTGTCAACAGAAGCCAAAATGTAAAACCTTTTTCCAAGACGACCCTCCAGGTTCAGCCATGGCTAAAAGCTACATTTCTGTTTCTCATCAGCAAACCAAAGCACAGAAATCACTTTCCATTTTTTCAGGAAAAAAAAATAATTAGCACTGGCCAACAATTTCCAGTTTTCAAAAAGGTCAAACATTACAGAAAATTTTTATTTCAGGTTTTGATGAAATTTAAGCCTACTTTAGACTTCCAGCTAATCAAAACATTGTATAGAGATCTGTCTAGGTGTCACCCAAGTATCCGTCATCAAAAGAAGACCCTGCCAGGCTGATGGGCAGAAAGGCCTCCGACCAGCCTTGGTTTAGAATGAGGGCTTGAATTTTCTCAATTCGTTGGCCTGTGCGGTCTTCACAGAGCACCTCATAAGTGGACAGTATCCAAACTGGCTACAGCCACTGGGGTGAAGCACTGACCAGCCAGGGCAGAGGGCTGGCGCTGGGCACCCTGGGAAACGGTGATATATGCACAGTTGCCCCCAGCCACCCCTCCCCGAGTAGCAGGAGAGGCCAGGCAGTGATGCAGGACACAGCATGGACACAGCATGCACAGGCGTGGGACACACTCAGCTCAGCCTCTCTTCAGGGCCACACCCGCGACCCGAGGTTCTGCTGGTCTAGCTTCAGGACAGACCTGGCTTCCGAGGAGAAACCTTTCATGGGCTCAGGAAGGACCAATTTTAGCCCAGACCACTCCAGATGCCAGTAGTGGGGCCAGCAAGGCCGAGGTGGCCCAGAAATAGTGACCACACTGCCACTAACCGGACCAGGGTGACGCAGAGCTGCTCACTGCGGCAGAAACAGACAAGCGTGTCTTCCTGCCAGGGCTGGGTTCCAGCCCCACACCTCCTGTCCTCCTATACAAGACTCAGAAAGGGATACTTCCCCCAGTTCTCACCAAACCCTCATCAAGTCTCACTCATCCTTCCGAGACCCGGCTGTGTATATGAAGCCAGGAAACCTACAGGGTGGAAGCAGCCCAGCCTCCCCGCCACAGGTGGGGCAGTGCAGGTCTTCATCTAAGCCTCTGGACTTGGGTCTTGTCAGCGTCCGTAACACTCAGTGTACTCAGTGTGCTCAGCCTATGTGGAGCTGTAATAGCTGCCAGAACAGCCCAGCAGGACAGCACACCATGCGAGCCTGGCCCTCCCCAGGCTGAAGGCAACCTGAACTAGAGCCAGACTCTGTTTACAAAAACAAAAAAATAGGGGCTGGGAAGGTGGCTCAGTGGTAAAGCATTTACCTTGCATGCATGAGGCCCTGGGTACGATTCCTCAGCACCACATAAGCAAAAAGAAAAAAGCCGGAAGTGGCGCTGTGACTCAAGTGGTAGAGCGCTAGCCTTGAGCTGAAGAGCTGAGGGACAGCGCCCAGGCCCAGAATTCAGGCTCCATGACTGGACCAAAAAAACAAAAAACAAAAAATAGCCAGGCGCCGGTGGCTCACGCCTATCATCCTAGCTACTCAGGAGGCTGAGATCTGAGGACAACGGTTCAAAGCCAGCCCGGCAGGAAGAAAACTGGAAGTGGCGCTATAGCTCAAGTGGTAGAGCGGTCGCCTTGAGCTGAGGGTCAGCGCTCAGGCCCAGAGTTCAAGCCCCATGACTGACAAAAAGAAAAAGAAAAAAGTTTGCAGAATAAGGCCGCTCACAGGCCATAGAAGTCACATAGGCACAATCCAAAAACCCAGACCTTTAGAGTTGCAAATTCCTCAAGAGTTACAAGTGAAGTTCAAAAGTGACTATGGCTGGGAATACGTGACACCCTGGTTCAATTCCTCAGTACCACACAAACAAAAAAGCTACAAGTGGCACTGTGGCTCAAACGGTAGTGATAGCCTTGAGCAAAAAGAAGCTCAGGGATAGTGTCCAGGCCTGAGTTCAAGCCCCAGGGCAAAAAAAAAAAAAAAGTGACCATCCGACAAATCTGTTCAGATTATATAATAAAATCTACAAGTGAAGGAAAGAAATTTATGTATAACCCAACGTGGAAGAAATGGTTGTATTGTCAAAGCTCATAGAATTCGCAAATATTATAGACCATGACAATCACAATTTGCCTTGTGGTTAAAATGTTTGTGACTTTAAGTACCATTATCCTACAATACTGTTGAAATTTATGTAATCACTTAATCTCAATAAAAGAATTATCTTTAAAAAACCCTTCAAGTCAAAGAAAAATAAAAGGAAAAAAATCAAAGGCTAAAAAGTAAGAAAAATCCAACTCCCAGTAAAGCTCATGGGGCAGGGAGCTGAGTTCACAGTGCCCAGCAGGCTGGGCAGGCCCTCTGCCACACCCAGCCCCCTGGCCCTCGATTGGGGCCACCAATCTCCCTGCTGCTAGAGTTGTGAATCAGTTAAGCTTCCTCCCCACAGTCCACCAAAAATCACTCCGGGAACCTCCTGAGCCTTCTGCAGGCTGGCGATGCAGACTGCAGGAGTGGACCCAGGGAACGCTCAACTGTGCCTGGACTTTGAACTGCAAAAACAAACTATATGAGCAAGGCTCAATAAAGTTTTTAAAGCAAAAATGGATTGCCTAAGAAGAGAGAAGACAAAGAGCAAACCGGAAGTTACAAAAGGTACTGTGAAAAGGGCCAAGCAACTTCAGGACCACGCAGCCACCACTGATGTGGGCTCCCCGTGGCTCTCAAAGCCACCCCGTGGGAATGGATCTCAGCCAGCACAGGAGAAGGTGAAGCAACCTGCCCTGGACCACACAGCAGGTAAACAGAGCCCGAATTCCACAGGGCTCACCGCAAACCGGGCCTCAACCCCTACATTGTACAGCAAAGCCCAGACTGCTGCCCCGCAGCTGCAAAAGGAAGAGCTTCTTCTGGGCAGCCTGGCCGGGGCAGACACAGCAAAGCAACATCAGCGAGCCCGCCTTGCCACCCCACAACCCTGCCCTCCCATAGTCTGCAAAATGCACAAGTAAAGGGCCTGGCTGTGCTGTGAGTGCAGGCTGTAGCTTGCCAGGCCTCCTGCACACATGGTCTCCGAGGGACGCACAGGACACCACCTCGAGGGGACACCACCACGAGGGGACACCAAATTCATACGTGGCTGCTTGTGTGCACAGAATCGGACTGCAGAGGTCTCTGGCGATTTCTACTTTCTTTGGCTCTTCGGCGCTGTGTGTGTTGTGTACTGATCCACTTACCAAAAGACTAGCGCGCACCTCTCCGGACCGGTGAGCCCCTCCCAGGCCCGAGCCCACCCCGACCCTGCCCTCCCAGGCCCGGGGCCCCACCCGGCCCAGCTCCCATCCTCTGGCCAGGCCACTCGGCCCCTCCGCAGCCCTCCCAGGCCCGGGGCCCCACGTCTGCCCTGCCCTCCGGCCTCGCCTGGGCCGTGCCCTCCCAGGCTCTGGCCCCACCCCTGCCCTAATCGCCAGGGCAGAGCCACGGCTCCCCGGGGGTAGACCCGG